ATCTGCTACTATCGACCGTCATGTTGATGGATTTCATTTGTTTTCAGAACATGAGTGATCTAGTCTTTTTAGTTGAGTACAAATATGGGATTTAAAATGTAAAAAAATCTAGCAGGATTATCCACAAGTGTCATGTTCTATAGCAGACAAAAAGAACATGAAAAAACATGACAATTCTTGTTACCAAAATATTTCTTTTTTATTGATATATGAGAACAATTTGAGAGACATTTTATCTCATGTGTTAGAAATGACTCCTTTATACTTCAACAGTGCATCCTTTTCAACTCCCCGAACATGTTGCCTCCGCTTTGAACTTGACATTTCTTCAACAATTGTATAAATTTAGTTTTCTTCTGCCTTTTAAACGTATTCCTGTATTATGAATTAATTTAAAGTGTCTAAAGTTGAACCTCAAAGCTCTGCTGGATTAGAGTAGATCCATAGGTGCTGTGAGTGGACGACTTTCTCATCCCTGAAGGATTTACGGAATATGGACAAGTTAGCATTCAGAATGGATGGTTCTAAACTACTTATGGACCTTTATACGTTTTAAATGTAAACTGTCGATGAAATGTAAACTGTATTGGTTATTAAAATGGTGTTTTATTCCATAACTTTCTAATTGCGTAATATTGCAAGAACATTTTAAATTTCCCCAGATATGATTTTCAATAATCAATCAAGCGAGGCAACCAGTATGTGCCATTTGGCCCCTCCAACCACCACAAACACTCACACACACACTCACACACCAGACTCATTCTAGGCGATGTGGGTGAAGTGTCTTGCCTAAGGAAACAACAGTTTGGCACTTTAAAGCCTCAGCTGCCCCACTGTGGCATCTGATGTTCCCAGAGGTCACCCATCACAGTACTAACCAGGACTGGCTCTGCTTAGCTTTGGCTTTCACAAGCAGGTATGGTTCAATCCACTTGTAGCTGTTCTCATAAAATAAAAATAAAAATAAAAAAAGAGAAAAGAAGTATCCAAATGTGAAATAAAAGTAATGATTTGATCAAAATAAACTCTTAATGCAAAATATAAGCTACAACAAACCACTTTGGAATAAAAAGTACAGACTGAAAACAGTTTTCTGCCCCAATCCAGCACTTTGTTTCTTTGTGAATGGTTAAACAGTTGAGCTGTATTCATTTTTGAATTCTTAATAGCTGTGGAAACTATGTTTTTCATGACAAAATCCATCTGTGCCACTTCTCAGCCCAGACAGTTTCTTTATTCATTTATAATTCCTGGAACAACTTCATTACCTGCTGTTAACGTGACGACACATAAATCACAAGGCGCTTCCACCACAGCTTTCCCCACAGTCCGTTTAAGGCCGGGCAGAGCTCTGTGCTGTCTAAGGAGCCTATAATCACACATGAGGAAACGCATGGGTCAGCAGCGTTGGTCTCTGGAGACGGTCACAGAAGGAAACAGAAAATAAGAGACAATCGGTTGTGTCCATGTCCCACAGAATAGAATAGTAATAGTAATTTTACAGAAATTTACCTTTCAAATAACATCACTGGTATATCAGTCAAAAAACTCGTAGATGTAAAATCCATGATCATATTTTTTTCCTTTTATCGTGATGATTAACTGGGGTGTTTGGAGTGGAAGCCAAATCCCGCCAGATCAAGTAGGAAAGGTGCTGGTCAGTACTGTGATGGGAGACCTCTGAGGAACACCCGGTGCCACAGTGGAGCGGCTGTGAAATACCTTACTGATGTTGTGTCTTTAGGCAAGGAACTTTATCCACATTGCCTTGAATGAGTCTGCTGTGTGTCTGAATGGTTGGTGATGCTCGGAACCGCTGATGGCACATATTGGTTCTCTCTCTTCTGTCAGTCTCCCCAGGGCAGCTGCGGCTACATGCGTACGGAGTTAATAATGACATATGAAACTTGGTCCAAAAAGAAGCTATATATAAACTACTACAATATTAAAAGTAGTAAAGTAAATTGTCACGGAATATGAATGAAAAAAAGTGCATGGATACAATCTTTTGTATCCATGCCTCTTTACAAAAGGTTTCTTTAATGTTTTGATGTCATCTGCAACAACTGGCCTTTGACACGCTAATCTATTTAATCACTCACTTTTCACGGTGAGCTCTTCATTACCTGACCCAAACAGGGCTCTCCTGAGAGCCGTGGTGTCAGTAATTATAGGCCTCCCAAACCTTGAATCACTCCCCATTACTCTGCTCCACGCACGTGTCGCTAGCGGTGCCATCCCGTGTTGACACTCCGTCGCTGGTTGCCATGTCCACATTTATTAAGCTCTTAATTGTGTGTTGCCATGTTGGTTTTGGCGAGGGCTCAGTGAAACATTGGAGAGTACCCATTAGCGAAGCAAAAAGAGCGAATGAGTGGGAGAGTAGAAGAGAGGAAATGAGATACAACAAGTCAATTTTTTGGGGAGATGTAAAAGTGTTAAAGTTGTGGAAGAGATGGTGGGTGGAGCAGGAGCTATAAGCGTTTTACAAACTACAAATTATAAAGGGAGAATCTTAGCCTACACTAACGTGTCTGTCCAAACATGCAGTACAGGAGAGACGATAAGATTAGATAAGATAGACTTTATTGATCTCACTGCAGGAGAAATGAACATGTCACATCTGGCATGGATAGAATCACTCAAGATGGTGCAAAAGAAAGAAATGTGCAAACATGTTAAATGCAGGATATATTATGTACAATAAAAAGAGGCAATTCATAAGTGACAATCAAGAAACAGTGTCAATAGTAATGCAGGTTTTTCAGTCCTAATGCAAGTGACTTAAAGTGACTTAATGTGTAGTCTGACAGTGGTGGGGATAAAGACCCTGTGGTAGCGCTCCTTCTTACACTGAGGGTGCCTCAGTCTTCCACTGAGAGAGCTCCTCAGCTCCTCTACAGTCCTGTGCAGTGGGTGGGAGGTGTCACTCTGAGACCAATTTATAAAAGCAGTTTCAATACAAGTGCAAGATCTTTACAATGCTTTGTTCAAACTGATAGAAAGATGTTAGCATAATGAGATGTCCTGCATGTCAGAAAGAAGAAGCTGGCCCCTGGCTTTTCCAGAGTGGCCAGAAGTCACTGATTATTTTAAGAGGCAGCGTGCTTTGACGATAGAAAGGGACTGCTGCAATACACTAGTAGTGTGGATTGACAGTAGCAGTTGACTTAAACCAAAATGTACACAAAACTTTTACGCTTAAGCCTAGTGTGTAGAGGTATAGTCGCGCGGAGCGGAGCATACGGTGCGCAACACAAGGGCTGTATCCGAATGTCCACACTATACCCTATTCACTCACTCACTATATAGTTCGGGACTATATAGCGACTGAGTGAGTGAGTCAGTGCACTCATTCTGTTGGCGATTCGGACACATGCACACTATTTTTAGCCGCGGCCCACATCACACCCCTGTCACATGTCATTGGATCAATATAATTTTATATATAAATAAAAGTATATTAAAATATCAATATTTGTCTAATATACATGTATAAAATGTTTTTACAATTTATATTCATATTTATGAATTTTGGTTGACGTCTTTCATATTCCTGCCACCTGACCGGCTCCTCTAACACCGGTGAAATGGCACCTCCACTGAATTTTGCGGTGTTTTTCATAACTATTATACAAGTTATCATAATGCGAATTAAACACCGCCGAACAGAGAGAAGGCGAAGACAGGCGATGAGGCGGAGGAGGAGAATGGCTCTTCGTTCATTAGCAGGGCGTCGTGTAAGTATTGTATTCGTCCTTTGTCTATATAGCATTAGCACCATCTACTGGGTAAATTATAGTACTTTTGGTGTACTTACTAATTAAAATACTATTCTCAGTCAATGAGAAACACATTAGTCATATACATTTAGACATATTTCAACAAGAAAACACATTGTATAGACACACTCACTTAAAATGCAAGAACATTAAAATATTTTATTGGTTGAAGGAACACAAAACCATAGCAAGGGAAATGGATTAAGTACTCATTTTTTCTAAATGAAAAATGAGTACTTAATCATTAAACAATAATAGAATTTGCTTGGCCGTTGTGTGTTATTAGGTGCGAGTGATGTAGTGAGGGTTTCTACTTCAGTTGTCTCAGGGCAGCTCCAGCTCCCTGCAACACACAATACATTTGGCAAAATCAATGCCAGGGCACAAAAGAACATGACTTCAGCTATATACTCTTCATTTTTATTTACATTTTTAAATCTCAAAATGAAAAATGAGTACTTATTCCTGTGTCTGCACTCATAACTAAAAGTGCAGATACAGAATTAAAAAATGAATCTAGAAGTATCATATTAAGTTTAAGAGAATTTTTGTTTTGTTTTAGGGTGAACCACCGGTGTACTGCCGACTGAACCACCATGTACCCCTACTCAGCATGTACTTAAATGGCCAGTCTGACCTTCGCCCCAATTTTCGTCTCACTCGAACCACCATCACCCGTCTGGTTAGCCACCTGAGGAGTGCTCATCACCAGGGCTGGAGCCAGGACATGGAGGTTTTGGTCTTCCTCTTTTGGTTGGCCAGTGGCACCGCGTACCGTGTTGTCGCCAGGGCATTTGACATGCCCCAGTCCACAGTCCACGATGTGATCCACAGGGTGGCCAACCAGATCCTTCAAATGCGTGGCCAAATAATTCATTTCCCTTCCCTGGAGGAACTTCCCCAAGTTGCAGCTGGGTTTCAGTTGCTGGCTGGATCAGCTGCTCTCAATAATGTTGTGGGGAGCATCGACGGCTGCCACATTAGAATAAAGCCCCTTCAAGAAAATGCACAGTGTTATTTTAACAGGAAATTGTTTTATTCCATTCAAATGCAGGCTGTGTGTAATCACCGTGGCTTATTTATTGATTTGTTTGTTGGCTACCCCGGATCTGTGCACGATTCTCGAGTGCTTAAAAACAGCCCCCTCTACGTCCACCGGCTCTATCCCCCAAATGGACACGTCCTCCTTGGGGATGGGGGTTACCCTTGCCTCCGTCAGCCCATCACACTCCTCACTCCATACAGAGAGCCTGTTCGGAGCCCAGTGGAAGCCCGCTTCAACCGGCACCATGCACGGGCACGATCTGTAACAGAAAGAGCGTTTGACATAATGAAGGCAAGATGGCGATCAATTTTCTTTAAGGCACTGGGAGTCCAACCCACCTTTGCAGTCGAGGTGACTGCCTGTTGCGCCATCCTGCACAACATCTGCGTCAGCGATGGTGATCTCTGGGAGCCAGTGGAAGAGGAGCCAGGGCCTGATGATGAGCAGGACCAGCATCAGCAGCACCAGCCTGATCAGCAGTGTGGACAGGAGCTGCGTGGACAGGAGCTGCGTGGACAGGAGCTGCGTGGACAGGAGCTGCGTGGACAGGAGCTGCGTGGACAGGAGCTGCGTGGACAGGAGCTGCGTGGACAGGAGCTGCGTGGACAGGAGCTGCGTGGACAGGAGCTGCGTGGACAGGAGCTGCGTGGACAGGAGCTGCGTGGACAGGAGCTGTGTGGACAGGAGCTGCGTGGACAGGAGCTGCGTGGACAGGAGCTGCGTGGACAGGAGCTGCGTGGTGGACAGGAGCTGCGTGGACAGGAGCTGTGTGGACAGGAGCTGCGTGGACAGGAGCTGCGTGGACAGGAGCTGCGTGGACAGGAGCTGTGTGGACAGGAGCTGCGTGGACAGGAGCTGCGTGGACAGGAGCTGCGTGGACAGGAGCTGCGTGGACAGGAGCTGCGTGGACAGGAGCTGCGAGGACAGGAGCTGCGAGGACAGGAGCTGTGTGGACAGGAGCTGCGTGGACAGAAGCTGCGTGGACAGGAGCTGCGTGGACAGGAGCTGCGTGGACAGGAGCTGCGTGGACAGGAGCTGCGTGGACAGGAGCTGTGTGGACAGGAGCTGCGTGGACAGGAGCTGCGTGGACAGGAGCTGTGTGGACAGGAGCTGTGTGGACAGGAGTTGTGTGGACAGGAGCTGCGTGGACAGGAGCTGTGTGGACAGGAGCTGTGTGGACAGGAGCTGCGTGGACGGATGGCAGCAGCACTTTCCGCCCCAAGGGAACCAGCTCTTCGGGACCACGACTATTAATTAAATGTTTGAATAATCTGTGTTTTGGCCTATTTAAATAAAAACAAAAACAATTGAATATGTAAATATCTAAAAAGAAATTGTTGAATGTATGTATAGTTCTTTACAAATGTCTAGTTGATTAAATTTTTTTTGTGTAAATAGTGTTCATCATTGTATGTAGTTCAAACTACACTTATCAAAATACATTTTAACACAATAAATGCTACACGTATAACACAAGTGCTTTAATAACATTAATGACTGACCACCAGTGACCCGTTTCTGTAGCGTTAGCTTGAGATGTTAATGTTATGATACGCAAAAATGCTAACATTTTTTGCGGCATAACATTGGTACGTTGTTTCGCATTAAAAGGCAATGGTATTCTGACTTAAAATGTGTATTTTGGCAGCTTATCGTCAACAATATATCACGGTTTACACATTTCCATATTTATGATGATCAAAAACTCACATTTATAGCTCATGTCCCGCTCCTGTTCCAACACGTCTCTCTGTGCCTCCGCCATTTTACTTCCGTATAGTGACCACTGCTGTTCACTACATTTTCGAGATGCATTGTGGGAAAATTCCAGTGCACTACTTTTTCTCTCTGGACATTCGGACACCCCTACAAAATGGCGTGACCACTATATAGTGCACTATATAGGGTATAGTGTGGACATTCGGATACAGCCATAGATCACCGCAAGACCCTTGCATACCGCGCACCCTCAAAAATGTCTAACTACGTAGCTGGCGCCGCAAGGAAGTTCCGTTTTGATTGGTCCGTATGTGTGTTTGAAGGAAGCATGGAGCGGCTGCAGGAGCACGGACAAGGCACTTCGGAGCAGAGTGCTTTGTGCTTCGAAGGAACCGAAGGAAAAGTAGTTTGGGTTCATGGCTCAGAGCCTGATATACGCGGAGACCGTGGACTGTTCTGTTCTGCTGCATATCCTCCTGCACTTGTAAATAGTTCATGTTTGGTCTCAGATATTTACCACTTATTGTTTTGCTGTTTGTGCTGACTACAATTTAATAATAACTATGTTTCCAACAAGAACTGAGTCTTTATTCACAGCATCACAGTTAAAGGACTTATGAAATAATGTGTCCATAGAACCTAAACCTACAGTAGAAACACATGTATTGATCTCAAATAGCTTGGTTTGCTAATGTTTTTGTTCTGATGAGGAGAAAGTAGCTAGCATAAATGGGACCGCTTTGGTTTCCCAGGCAACTCCTGTGAGATCGGCATCATCTTCAAAACTCTACAAGGGGAACACTTGAGTGTACCGGCAACTGTGGCTGTGTAGGTCCAGCGCAACTGGAACCAGCGCCGCGCGAGTGTACACTAGGCTTTAAAACCCACATATCGTAACATAGAACCAACATCTCGTCCCAAAAAAAAAATTTAAACTGACAATTGTGTCCTAATTTGCTCCCATTCAAACTTTCTTAAACAATTCACAGACTTTATGATGTTATGCAAACCTGCACCACAAGATTTACTATCGCTCGAACAACGGATGTCAGGCCAGCAGAGATGAATCATATAAATACTCCATCACGCAGATATTTGAAAGCGTTAAAAAACTAGCAACTAAGCAACTATCTACTATGGCTCAAAGCGTAAACTAACTTGGGCAGTGTGCAGTGTAATTGGAATAACAATTTATATTGTCAAAATGATCTTGTAGTAAAGGTCATATTCGGTGACACACGATCTCTTCAATCGTGGTCACAGTTGGCTCACATAAATGTCAGGAGTGGAGTTCCAGGTCTCGGGGGCGGAGCCTGTCAGTCACTTGTGCAGTTTAATGGAGCGTACACACAGGCTTTAATTAGTCATGTCTCCTCAGCTTCACTTCGCTGTCAAAGAACTGGAACTCCACTCACGAGACCATCTGCGACCACGCAACAACTGTAAACATGCGGATTCTACCAACTCAGGCAACATCGCAGCATTTCTATAGCTCTGAAGAACATCATGGAGAGAGACATTAAAATGGACAGTTGGAAGCAAGTGGAGGACAATGTTATGACTTTGATTGACAGAAATGTTCATGCCATTTGGCTTCATGTGGCTTATTGCTTGTTGGACCATACCGGAGAGCGCAGAAGTGCTGTACCCAAACTCAAATTAGTTGTGTTCTTCAAAATTGTCTTACTCATAGATTTTGAGACCTAACACCACCAAATAATAGCTTCTCTTGCAGTGGTGGTTTAAGTCAAGATTTGTATACATCCAAAATGAATTCTAGTGATAAAAAAACACATATAGTATTAATAATCAAACTGATAATAATTCTTAAAGGACATTTAATTTGAAATTAAAACACACTAATAAGCCAAAAAACACACCAATAAGCCAAAAAACACAACCCTAAACCAAATTCTACTTCATGTTTACTTAATTTATCCCTAACATAAATATATACATGTTTACATGCGTATCTCAAAATTGTCTTTGTTTTGTCATCCGCTGTCTCTTTAATTTGTTTTTTCGGAAATATTACGAACCGCATACAGAAGATGCAATGTACAATGTGTTTATGGTCTCCCAGTTTTGGGCTGTCTCTTTCGAAAACCACAAGGGATCTGCAGATGCGCGATTATTATACAGAGTGAAGACCAAAGGGCCAGTTTCAAAGTAATTTCTAAGCAGAGATCACATGTGAGTCCCAAAAAAAGATTCGACACATGAATGCGCTGAAGCCAAACCAATCAACGCAGCTGCTGTACAATAGGTCAGCCACTTACAGGTGTCAGCCCTCATTCTCCATGTGGTTCTTCTTCATTGGCTTCAGAGGCTGAGAGCTTAAAACCAACCCACTCCACAGTGGTCTGGGCGTAGGCTTCTGGAACAACGGGTCATCACATCTGAGCTGACGATTAGTAATACGGAGAGATGGCGTTCAAATCTTCAATTGATGCAAAAGACACTTACTTGCTCATGTGTGCAATAATAACTTTCATAATAATGTGTCCACCGTTGCTCTACTTAGTCACTTTGTCCCGTGCTGCAAAATGTACAAGTGTTTACATACAACTATATATTACTTGCAATAGATTACACAGCACTTTATACTTCTTATTATGCCATAGGTAAAGATTTTATACTTCTATTACATTTTATACTTTTTAGCACAGAGTTATTGTTATTTTTTCTTGTGCCGTGTACTTCTCATTACTACTGTTCTGTAACTGGTGATGCAAAATTGAAATTTACCCACTGTGGGACGAATAAAGGATTTCTTAAAAAAAACGGAAGAGGAAGCTTAATGCACCTCTCCAGAAAATTAAAGAATGAAGAAGGCCGATGGACCGGCTTAAACAATGCATCACTATGGTGTGGTTTGGTTTCACGTGTTGTTGGTTTTATATCTTGATGTGTGTGGAGTGAGTGACAAATGCCCACAATTTAAGCGCTTTGTGACTCTGGTCTGTGAAAGGCGCTATTTAAATAAAGATTACTTACTTACTTACTTAAAGTCATCTAATCGATGCTACAAACCAACAATTACATAAAGAAATAGTGACCTATGCATGACAAAACTGTTTGTAGTGTCACTGATAACGGTCCACTTCTCATCATTGTGAAATGCATGGACAAAGTCATTGGTGCCGATGTATATACCAATACATAGGATTCAAATCATTCACCAGAATTCATTTATAATCCTAAGTGCCAGGGCTTCATGGTAAAGTTAACAGACCACTAACCCTATGCAGAACACAGTGGGCTCATTTATTCATATAATAACATATAGGGATATAGAAATGTCCCTATATGTTATTTTCTATGACACAAAATCTAGAATAGTCCAGTATTCTTATTAAAACTTGGCAGCAGCCTTCAGCTACAACATGCAGCACAGCCATCATTTAAATCTACAGCCCTCAGACCATGTCCTGATGTCATTTGGCTGTGTGCGTTCAGTGTGCCTCTGCTGAAGCAGGTGAGCTAAGTAGTTGCGGAGACTTGTCTTCTGGCAGCCCCCCTCTCCTGACAGCCGCTGCACTGTTCACACATAGCAGCTCATTCACTATTGATGAGAAGAGCTCTGGAGCAGGACGCATGTCGCAAGTGGATGGAGAAAAAATAATATGCAGAAGTAGCACAGAATGAGCCCAGTCGGAGCTACATATCTCCACATTTCCGTCCCATGGTTTGTTGCTTCCAATTTGACTCATAAATGTTCATCTCCTCCTATAGATTGCAACATATGCTCTTGCAGTTGCTGCATGTAGAAAATCAGACATGGTCCATGGTTAACATCTGTAGGCCTACATCCAATATGTGGTGTGTATATCTAATACATCAAGACAACGTACAGTACATACAGTATAGACATTTCAAGACGGATGGAAGAAATACTTTATTTGTCCTGCAGGGGTTTCTGTTACAGACAAATAATTAAAATACAGACAATAATTAAAGTTACAGACAGTAGGAATCAGGAGCACACAGCACAAGAACAAATATATAAATAATATCTCTAACTTTAGCATAAAAAAGAAACATCTAAAAACTACATCATGAAATAAAACAGCATTGTAGCAGAGTGGATAGCACTCACGTGTCTCAGCAAGAAGGTCTTCGGTTGGAATCCCAGTTGGAACAGAGTCTTTCTGAGTGGAGTTTGAATGTCTGCGTCTGCTCCGGGTTCTTCTTCGACTAAAAATTCATGCACAATGGGTAAAATCCTCCAGCTCCAGTCCTGACTGAGCCGAGCATCAACATGTGGAGATGGGTTCCTGGGCGCTGTACTATGGCAACCACTGCTCCTGATAGGTGGCATCAGGATGGGTCAAATGCAGAGGAGGAATTGCCCCGCGGGGATAGATAAAATGCACATTTTATCACAGCTTTAATGTGTGGTCTTGATGAATATAGCTCAGTTTAAGGGTGACCTTTTACTTCTACACCAGGCTTGACATTATTATCATCACTGGTAAATAAGCAGGGGTTTTCTTTTACCCGTAGTTAAGTACTTTTTTGCTTTCACATGGTTTGCTAAATGCCCCCTTCCCCCTTTCGCAGCAGCAGATGTCGGCATGCAGCAGGTGTCCTTCGGCCTTATTCCGCACTATCGCAGCCTGGCCGTGCACCTGCTCTTCGTGACACACTTGTGCGGATGCTCATTTTTCAGCACCCAAGCTTCACTTTAGCAGCTCTCAGCCTTCCAAGTTGAACAAATCAAAACCTGCTCATTCAGTCCACGCAGGGTTGGGAGAGAAATGGGTATTTCTTTAGAAAATAACATGGAAAAGGAAAGCCAAAGTGTGTTATTTCTGTGGTATTTCAGTCTGTAGCGGCAATAGTGCTTTGTGAATGAAATTCATTGAAAAGAAACGACATTGGTAAATTACTTTTGATAGAATATTTGTATGTGATGTGAAGTCAATTTATCAAGTGTTTTCTTTGTGCCTGTGGTATGTTTGTTGTTGCTGCTGCCAAACAATGGAATAAAATCTAATGTATAAAGTTCATTATGTCTCCTTATGTTTAAGGCTTAGAAGCTTCTTATAATAAGACACAAATCGTGAGACAGGTTAGTTCTACCCTACGGATGTGTTTTTGCAACTGTAATCAACAGTAAATCCAATCCTTTTAATACCAGCTATAATTTTCTGTTTTGCATCTTACATGTATCTCTGTGTATCTACTTCTTTTTTTTTCTGAGTGTGTGAAGCACTTTAGGCGGCAAACGCTAATTACCATAGCAAGACACGGTTTACTTGCATCAGATAGCGTTAGGTTTTTCCGTATTTCATTTGTATAAACTGTTTTAGCATCCATCAAAGACGTGATAAAGCTAAAAAAAAGCATATTAATTACTTAAAATTGTGACCTCTTTCAGAATTCAAATCACTTGAATGGGAACCGTCAAAACGACTGCTCCTGGGAGTTTTAGTAGTTTCAGAATCCTGGGAGTCCTGGTATTAAAACTAAATCATTGCAGGGGCGACAGTGGCTCTGATGGTCGTGGGTTCGCTCCTCCCACTAGACCTACTCTATCTACTCCCACTGATGCCGTTGTGTCCCAGGGTAATACACTTAACCCCACTCTGCCTGCTGGAGGAGGCACAGTGAGGGGCTGGTGCTATGAGGATTGGATGGCAGCTCTGACCCAGAAATGTATTAAGCGGATGAGAATGAAGTCATAAATGAATAAATGGCTGCATTAAATTAAACTCTAAATTGTTCATTGATTTTTCTATTTTTTTCCCGGAGCTGCACAACAGAAAAACAAATCTCTCTCCATGGTAACGACCGAGGAAACTTGCATAGTGCACTTTCACAGGAGAGCACTATGCAAGGTTCTGGCCATTGCTTTCCGCATCCTTAAACAGCACGGCTCCACAGCCTCAGTGGTCGTAATCAAGGTCAAAGAGAGTCTATTCGGTCTTAAGTACGAGTCACTTTGCAAAGTGGAAGCCGCGGAGGTCAGCATCGACTGTCGGAAGCAGGTGTTAATGTGTTCAGGGAAACGCCGCAGACAGGAACAGAGAAAAGCTTTTAGCAACCAGTCTATCCCGATGGAGAACAGGCTCATGAATACATTCAACTTCAAATCACAATGAACACAGACTCATTTAATTATCTCCCTTTGAAAGAAAAAGTAATTTTGTTGCTAAAAAACCTTAAACTGTTAAGTATTCCACCTCCGGAGATAAGGCTGGAATCATTTGTTCTATGCATGGGGGGCTTCTGAAATGAAAATATTGTCACGCATCGGTGGCATATGATTGCGCCGGTTTTGGGTCATTACGGAGTTGTTAAGGTGCACTGTATGGAGAGATATGCAATCAAATGAATGAATACTTTATTTCATGCTAGATTTGAGATCGTTTTTCCCCCCCTCCATGACACGCACAATCGCGTCTTTCCTTGCGTTTA